CTGAGTCCCTGACTGACAGTGCAACATACTGAGTCCTGACTGACAGTGCAACATACTGGGTCCCTGACTGACAGTGCAACATACTGAGTCCCTGACTGACAGTACAACATACTGAGTCCCTAACTGACAGTACAACCTACTGAGTCCTGACTGACAGTGTATCCTACTGAGTCCTGACTGACAGTGCAACATACTGTGTCCTGACTGACAGTGCAACATCCTGAGCCCCTGACTGATAGTGCAACCTACTGAGTCGACTGACAGTGCAACATACTGAGTCCCTGACTGACAGTGCAACATACTGAGTCCTGAGTGTCAGTGCAACATACTTGGTCCCTGACTGATAGTACAACATACTGTGTCCCTGACTGACAGTGCAATATACTGAGTCCCTGACTGACAGTACACCATACTGAGTCCCTGACTGATAGTACAACATCCTGAGCCCTTGACTGATAGTGCAACCTACTGAGTCGACTGACAGTGCAACATACTGGGTCCCTGACTGACAGTGCAACATACTGAGTCCTGACTGACAGTACAACATACTGAGTCCCTAACTGACAGTACAACATACTGAGTCCCTGACTGACAGTACAACATACTGAGTCCCTGACTGACAGTACAACATACTGAGTCCCTGACTGACAGTGCAACATACTGAGTCCCTAACTGACAGTGCAACATACTGAGTCCCTAACTGACAGTACAACATACTGAGTCCCTAACTGACAGTACAACATACATAGTCCCTGACTGACAGTGCAACATACTGAGTCCTAACTGACAGTACAACATACTGAGTCCTGACTGACAGTGCAACCTACTGAGTCCCTAACTGACAGTGCAACATCCTGAGACCCTGACTGACAGTGCAACCTACTGAGTCCTGACTGACAGTGTATCCTACTGAGTCCTGACTGACAGTGCAACATACTGAGCCCCTAACTGACAGTACAACATACTGAGTCCCTGACTGACAGTACAACATACTGAGCCCCTGACTGACAGTACAACATACTGAGTCCCTAACTGACAGAACAACATCCCGAGTCCCTGACTGACAGTGCAACCTACTGGGTCCTGACTGACAGTGTATCCTACTGAGTCCTGACTGACAGTGTATCCTACTGAGTCCTGACTGACAGTGCAACATACTGAGTCCTGACTGACAGTGCAACATACTGAGTCCCTTACTGACCTATGATTGTTGGTTCGAATCACGGTTCGCACCGATTATGTTTCTAGGTTTGTCAGCACCATACCCGTGCTCGTGGGTTTCACCGAAGTGGTAAACGTCCGAGACCTGCATCACTTCGGGCTTTCCTTCCACACTAAGCTGACACGCCGCGATATAACTGGAATACTGTTAAAAGCAGCTCAAACTCACGATAACCCACACGTAAAAATTACAACTTAATGCAACACTATTTGAGTTTGGTTGTGTGACATTGACAGCTTTAACTGCTTTCATGTTGATATCAGTATATTTACAGTTTCATCTGGACAGATTTTTGAGGAGTTAAAATTGCTAGAGTTCATAAAATTGTTTAAGTTGATTCCTACATTTACATAGGATATACAATTTACAAACATCGTTAAAATATGTACATTTAAAAATTTAATGCTTTTCATAACCAACACCTTTCATTTTTCAAAAAACTTACAAATATGATCACTTATTGGAGTCTTATTCCCTTTTCCTCTTTCAATTCACAATGTTCAAAAGAAGATTAATTTAAGAGCTAAAAGGAAGGGAATATTTAATAAATACTATTCAAGATTCTTGTCAATTATGATGTTAAGATATGTTGAACATTAAGATGAATCTGAAGTACCCGCGTTCCAATTTTGCCGATGAGTGAGTGAGTGAGTATGGTTTTACGCCGCTTTTAGCAATATTCCAGCAATATCACGGCGGGGGACACCAGAAATGGGCTTCACACATTGTACCCATGTCGGGATTCGAACCCGGGTCTTCGGCGTGACGAGCGAACGCTTTAACCACTAGGCTACCCGACCGCCCCATTTTGCCGATGAATATCATGTAGTTTGCGTGAAAGGGTTACGTTTTACCAGGGAGATGATATTTAACTCTGTGGCAGCCAAACATAGCTCATGCCAGCTTGGTCTAACATATTTTGAATAAAAGTGAGCCATTTGTAAATTGTACCATTTGTATTTGTACCTTTATACCAGAACATGTATATAATATTGGGCAGTTTTCTCTATTTTCAGATAAAAACTTTCGTCCAAAATGTGATCTTTCTTATCTGAATATCTATGAAAAGGGGAGTTCTACCCAGCACAGCATAAAGCATAAAAGGTGGTGTTCCTTTTTTAACTGGGATAAGTTTTCTTAGATAATATATGTGGACTTTTTTTTTAAAATAAAAAATTCAAAATCCAAAACTTCCCCCTATGGTTTCAACATAGCATCAAATAAATAAAGTTGACATTTATGTGAAAAGTTACATATGCGTGATTTTTGTGGAGTGAGTGAGTATGGTTTTACGCCGCTTTTAGCAATATTCCAGCAATATCACGGCGGGGGACACCAGAAATGGGCTTCACACATTGTACCCATGTCGGGATTCGAACCCGGGTCTTCGTCGTGACGAGCGAACGCTTTAACCACTAGGCTACCCGACCGCCCCGATTTTCGTGGAACAAAGCACAAGCGTAAAGTAGCTTGATCACACAGATGTGTCTACTGATTTAGTGAAATATATTGTTTCTTCTGATAAGGAATCCCAAGACACTTATACCCATCAACGAATTCCAGATTAGTTACATTCAAGACATATATGCTTTCTTTTGAGAGATGCATTACCCCCAAAAATATTGCTTCTGTTTTATTCGTATTTATATTTAGTTGCAATATTTGTACAATATCAATGAAAACAACCAAAAGAAGTATGTAATGTTTTCTTGAAAAGGCTAGAAGGACTGCGTTATCTGCACGTAACAGTGCAGTAGAATTAGCGAAAGATCAATAGAGGACGCATCCAATTGTAGACCAACGCAATTATGTTCAGTGAATTTAGTTAAAGCATATTTTATTCCCAAATAGAAAAGGATTAGGAACGAGTTATCCAACACCAACACACACCCCCCCCCTTGGTATTTCCATACATTATTTACATATGTACAAGGGGTGACGTAGGAAGACAAGTACAATAAGTATTGATGAGTATGGAAAGAAACAAAAACAGAAGAAAAGAGATAAATTAGACAAAGCATTTAGTCTGACAGATTGCACTGCCTTAAATACATATATATATACATGACTTGTTGATAGGTCTGCACGTCCCTCTCACAAAAGTTTCACATTGATTTGTACACTTGTGTTTCTTGTATACGTCTTAATGATAATGTAAGCTGTTCTCTCTGACTAGTTTGTTTGTTTGTTGTTTAACGCCGCACTCAGCAATAATCCAGCTGTATTACGGCGGTGTGTAAATAATCGAGTCTGGACCAGACAATCCAGTGATTTACATCATGAGCATCGACGCAATTGGGATAGGTGACATGGATCAACCAAGTCAGCGAGCCTGACCACTCGATCCCTTCAGTTGCCTCTTACGACAAGCATTGTCGTCTTTTACAGCAAGCATTGATTGCTGAAGACCTATCCTTCCCCGGATGTTTAAGGGCACTAAAAGATAAAGCATCGTCAGAAGGTCGATATTTAAGTCAAATAGCCCAAAATTCAAGCCCTGAAGCTTATTTCAGATCAAGAGCGGAGAATGGTATGGCGTCGGATACGTTAGAGGGAATGATGTGTTTAATATTCTGAAGAATACACCTAGCTCACGAGCCCACTCTATTGATGACACTCGATTACAATATATTAATTGTGGTCGTTAAAAAAACAAAACAAACTCAATTCAGAAATTATTACTAAATTGTATTTGGAAACCTGAGGCTGCAATACTAAAACAAAACACAGAAAATAATACTTTATTACAGTGAACACAGAATCTACTGGCAATCCTCAAATCAATTTTATCTCTTCTAAACATGTATCCTTTCCCATTGAAAATATACACTGAGGGTCGAAGCTAAATGTGATAAGAAAGAGATCAATCTTACGATTGTATATTGCGGGTCCAAAATAATAATATGAAAATGACTAAACTATTTTAATCTAATCCTCGCATACATTGATCGAGTTCAGTTTAACACAGATTCAACAGTATATCAGCAGGTGATCTTGAAGTGTGAGGAAAGCCAAAAGTGGTGTAGGCCTTGGATTCGAACTCGTGAAATGAAGATCCTGATAGAATAAGACACACATAAACAATGAGCAGCTACCAAGATTAATGTTCTCAATCCCTATTACGCCCCATACCTATTTCTCCCTGCTCCGACCTTGGGAAAATCCGTATAATTCCTCAAGCGACTGAATGTGTCAGACTCGGTGAGTTGGTGGATTGAGTAGATTTATACCCATAATGTCAACCACTTGATTGGCTGGTCAAATTCGAATATTTGTGACAGTTGTAATAAAGCTGGAATATCGCTCAGTGTGGTAACAACGCGTGTCGGTCTGACGTTGATAAATGAACAATTTGCATACTGGTATATGCAAGAGGCCGACGTATGGTTCTCAGTAGGAAGTGACAACTTGGAGACGATGGCTTGCAGTATATACAGTTTTACTTTATACATGTAGATAGATACATACAAATGACACTATGTGCCAAGTCAGCACATAGTGGTAGTGCTTGTTGTCTTGGTGCCCCGGAGCACCCAGCCTAACCCTAGCTAGGCTAAGGGTAAGACCTTTCTTTCTCTTTCTCTCTTTTCTCCTTTCAATCATTCTGGACCAAGGCTTATATAGCCAAGGTCACCTGAAATTTAGTGAGTAATAAATATAAATGTAAACAGTAAATCATCAGTGACATACTTGCACATCCTGTTCAGGATGACAGACGGTCGATGTACACAAAAATGGGGATTAACAATTATGATTAGCATCTTATAAATAACAGCAATTAAATGTTTCAAGGCATATAGATGTCATGGCTCCAGGGTAAAGAGCCTTTGCAATTAAATGTTCTTCAGACAATGGGTGTCGTAAATCAGTCGCTATGACAGTGGCGTTAAACAAACAAATCATTACAAGTATCCAGGACTATTTCGTTTGGGAGATCTGTCTCTTCCAATACAGGAGTCCATCATTGGGTCCACAACATTTTATTCCTGATTAAAAGAATACAGCCACACCCATGAGGATCCGGGGTGGAAAGGTATTCGTCAATCCAATGCTTGCCGTATAAAAGTCGATCCTGCTTGAGGCGACTAACGGGATTGAGTGGTTAGGCTCGCTGACTTGGTTGATGCATGTCATCGTATCCCAACTGCATGGATCAATGTTCATGATATCAATCACTGGATTGTCTGGTCCAGACACGATTATTTACAGACCACTGTCATATAGCTTGAACAGTGCTGAGTGCTGCATTATCAACAAACAAACAAAACACAATGGTAACAGGACAGCAATGGCCAGACAGCATCTTGGAGGATCAGTGAGGCAGCCTGCCTAGCTGCTGTCCAACGGTCAGATTGCATACTGACTAACACAATGGCTAAACACCGTCAGACTGTTACGTATCCTGTTATGTAACATGAATAGTACATATGTATTCCGCCATAGTGCATTTGATATAATAAAATATCGAACTAAACGAAGTGTCCATTGAATATTGGAATAATATGAATATAAAATTTGACAAAACAAAATACGACATTGGCATCAATTTTCTAAACGTTATTGAACTTTTCACTGCTTGAATCTCTTGTTCAATTAAGTTTCATTTTAGTACAGGCCAGAAGTCAGAGGTGGCGTATGCAGCCTTTATAACAAAACAAGTCTAGTTAAATGAATTGCCAAATCATCATTTTGATTGACTGAGCCATGACATTTGGAAGTATATCAAACAGTTTATTCTCATTGTATGTAATGTGCTGGTGTTATCAAAGTGAACAAACATTCAAACATCCATGAGTTCTAACCTACGAAGTAACATTATCAAAATGTTCCATCTCACTCAGTTTTGTGCTTCTTGTCGCTCTTTCCCTTGCAACAACACTTGCGACAGATCCAGATATCGACAGCAATTATCACACTGACAATAACAGCAATAGACAGCCATACATCAGCATAGATGTAACTAACAAAGCAAACTGGGGGCTGTCGCATGTGGTTTCCGCCGTACTTGATAACATGTTCTACAGCAGATGCCGCTCGTTCTGCAGGCTTTTCTGGTCTGTCACGAAGGAGCCTCGACATCCTCTTCATGTTCTGGCTGATTGATTTGTTTTCAAGAACGCGGCTTATCTTTTCAAACAGATCATCAACAGTATCATCAAATATTTCAATTCTAGATCCTATATTGTATTTCTTAACCTTTATGGCTGTGGTGAATGTTTCCGCGTGGATTGGCATACAGATGATTGGAACTCCGTGATACAGTGCCTCCCAAAATCCGTTCTTCCCACAATGAGAAATAAACACCTTGGTGTTGGGATGGCCTAGGATATCATTTTGCGGCACCCATTTCATGGTTTTGATGTTACCGCGGATTTCCTCTTTATCCTGCTTGAACAGAACTTGGTACTTCAGTCGACCAAAGACAGCCATCAACTTTTCAATCAGAGGTGGTGGAAACCCTTTTATCAAGCTTCCAAAGGTAACAAGTACAACACCTTTTTGTGCTGCATCCATGTACTTCTTCAATTCCCCTGAAAGAGGGTTTGCTGGGCTTGCTGTAAGACCACCACACTGAATGAAATTTGGAAACACAGCTTTGGGGTAGTCAATGATATAATCGGAGTTTTCTATGAAAAGCACAGAGTCCCTTACCAGTTGGCTTGCGTCAACATCTCGGAGTTTATCACCCAGCACAGAGTAGTCAGTAGATGTTGAAGAAGCTTTGAATACGATAGAAGTGGCAAAGATTAAGAGTGTGTTTATGAGTCTTTCAGGGAATGTCATGTCATTGGTGAAACTAGACATAAGGTGAGGAAATGTGTTACTTTGTAGAGGCATTCCGCTGTCTCTTGCGTCGATGTAGGAGCTAGCAACAACTGTTGGAACCCCAAGATAGGCAGCGATGGCGAACAAACATTCTGAGCCAGGCATTCTACTCACCAATGCAATGTCATAATTGCCCTTCTTTAACCCTTCTAAAACAACCCTATCTTTCATCGCAGCACTACAGTGATTCTGTAGCATAGGTTTCAAAAAGTTCAAAAACATTTTCCACATACCACCACGACTAAATATGACTTTTTGTCCAGCTGCCAACACTTCTTCATGTGTCTTCTGCATCGATGGATCAAGATCAGGAACAATAACGTTGAATGTGGTCTTGAAAGCCTCCTTATCCAACCTTCCAATACAGGATTTGGGATCAAAGAGGACGGCAAATAAGGTAACATGGTGGCCTCTTTTCAGAAGAGCTTGTCCAATGGACATAATTTCCAGACAGTGGCTAGTTGCAGGAGTTGGAATTAAAAGAATCTTGGCCCCATGGCAGCAGCTGACAATTGTGATCAGAAGGACGAAGTTAGGAAGTGACATCTTTCAACTGAAATACCTGCAATTAAAAGCAGCTATTGATTACTAATTATTGAAGTTGCGCTTTCACTGCTCTACATTGTAAGAGGGTATAATGTAAATATTTTTATTAACAGTATGACCTCTTATCAGCTCAGTGTGTGAGAAAGTGTAATCGAATAATGATCATTGGGCTGAAGTAGGTACTGGCAGCTGATGCCGCACCTTAAATCAATGGACACCGCAACAGACTGACAAGGCCCCTGACTGAAAGCTAATCATAATGATTCCCTGACTGACAGCGTAGCACACTGAGACCCTGACTGATAACGAGACCCTGACTGACAGTACAACATCCTGAGCCCCTGACTGACAGTACAACCTACTGAGTCCCTGACTGACAGTACAACATACTGAGTCCCTAACTGAGAGTACAACATACAGAGTCCCTGACTGACAGTACAACATACTGAGCCTGACTGACAGCACAACAGACTGAGCGCTGACTGACATCTAATCATACTGAGACCCTGACTGACAGCACAACATACTGAGCGCTGACTGACATCTAATCATACTGAGACCCTGACTGACAGTACAACACACTGAGTCCTGACTGACAGTGCAACCTACTGAGCCCCTGACTGACAGTGCAACATACTGAGACCCTGACTGACAGTACAACATACTGAGTCCCTGACTGACAGTGCAACATACTGAGTCCCTGACTGACAGTACAACATCCTGAGACCCTGACTGACAGTACAACATACTGAGTCCCTGACTGACAGTACAACATACTGAGTCCCTAACTGACAGTACAACATACTGAGTCCCTAACTGAGAGTACAACATACAGAGTCCCTGACTGACAGTACAACATACTGAGCCCCTGACTGACAGTACAACATACTGAGTCCCTAACTGACAGTACAACATACTGAGTCCCTGACTGACAGTACAACATCCTGAGCCCCTGACTGATAGTGCAACCTACTGAGTCCCTGACTGACAGTGCAACCTACTGATCACGAGTGCCTTAAAGACAGCATGCATACTCAGCGCCTGACTGACAGTACACCATACGGAGCCCTGACTGACAGGGCAACATACTGAGACCCTGACTGACAGTACAACATCCTGAGTCCTGACTGACAGGGTAACATACTGAGACCCTGACTGACAGGGCAACATACTGAGACCCTGACTGACAGGGCAACATACTGATACCCTGACTGATAGTGCAACCTACTGAGCCCTGACTGACAGGGTAACATACTGAGACCCTGACTGACAGGGCAACATACTGAGACCCTGACTGACAGGGCAACATACTGAGACCCTGACTGACAGGGCAACATACTGAGACCCTGACTGACAGGGCAACATACTGAGACCCTGACTGATAGTGCAACCTACTGAGCCCTGACTGACAGGGTAACATACTGAGACCCTGACTGACAGTGCAACCTACTGAGTCCCTGACTGACAGGGCAACATACTGAGACCCTGACTGACAGGGCAACATACTGAGACCCTGACTGACAGGGCAACATACTGAGACCCTGACTGATAGTGCAACCTACTGAGTCCCTGACTGACAGTACAACCTACTGAGCCCTGACTGACAGGGCAACCTACTGAGACCCTGACTGATAGTGCAACCTACTGAGTCCCTGACTGACAGTACAACATTCTAAGTCCCTGACTGATAGTGCAACCTACTGAGTCCCTGACTGACAGGGCAACATACTGAAACCCTGACTGAAAGGGCAACATACTGAGACCCTGGCTGACAGTGCAATATACTGAGTCCTGACTGACAGTACAACATACTGAGTCCCTAACTGACAGTACAACATACTGAGTCCCTAACTGACAGTACAACATACTGAGCCCCTGACTGACAGTACGACATACTGAGTCCCTGACTGACAGTGCAACATACTGAGTCCCTGACTGACAGTACAACATCCTGAGCCCCTGACTGACAGTACAACCTACTGAGTCCCTGACTGACAGTACAACATACTGAGTCCCTAACTGACAGTACAACATACTGAGTCCCTGACTGAGAGTACAACATACAGAGTCCCTGACTGACAGTACAACATACTGAGCCCCTGACTGACAGTACAACTTACTGAGTCCCTAACTGACAGTACAACATACTGAGTCCCTGACTGACAGTACAACATCCTGAGCCCCTGACTGATAGTGCAACCCACTGAGTCCCTGACTGACAGTGCAACCTACTGATCACGAGTGCCTTAAAGACAGCATGCATACTCAGCGCCTGACTGACAGTACACCATACTGAGCCCTGACTGACAGGGCAACATACTGAGACCCTGACTGACAGTACAACATCCTGAGCCCCTGACTGATAGTGCAACCTACTGAGTCCCTGACTGACAGTGCAACCTACTGATCATGAGTGCCTTAAAGACAGCATGCATACTCAGCGCCTGACTGACAGTACACCATACTGAGCCCTGACTGACAGGGCAACATACTGAGACCCTGACTGACAGGGCAACCTACTGAGACCCTGACTGACAGTACAACATCCTGAGACCCTGACTGATAGTGCAACCTACTGATCACGAGTGCCTTAAAGACAGCATGCATACTCAGCCCCTGACTGACAGTACACCATACTGAGCCCTGACTGACAGGGCAACATACTGAGACCCTGACTGACAGGGCAACCTACTGAGACCCTGACTGACAGTACAACATACTGAGACCCTGACTGACAGGGCAACATACTGAGACCCTGACTGACCGGGCAACATACTGAGACCCTGACTGACAGTACAACATCCTGAGCCCCTGACTGACAGTGCAACCTACTGAGACCCTGACTGACAGGGCGATATACTGAGTCCTGACTGACAGGGCAACATACTGAGACCCTGACCGACAGTACAACCTACTGAGTCCTGACTGACAGTGCAACCTACTGAGACCCTGACTGACAGGGCAACATACTGAGACCCTGACTGACAGTGCAACATACTGAGTCCCTGACTGACAGGGTAACATACTGAGACCCTGACTGACAGGGCAACATACTGAGTCCTGACTGACAGTGCAACCTACTGAGTCCCTGACTGACAGGGTAACATACTGAGACCCTGACTGACAGGGCAACATACTGAGTCCCTGACTGACAGGGCAACATACTGAGACCCTGACTGACAGTGCAACCTACTGAGTCCCTGACTGACAGGGTAACATACTGAGACCCTGACTGACAGGGTAACATACTGAGTCCTGACTGACAGGGTAACATACTGAGACCCTGACTGACAGGGCAACATACTTAGACTTGTCAGCTCAGTGTGGGAGAAAGCCCATTGTTAAAGGAGTAATATTCCATGACACCAACATCAGTGACTGGCAGCAGCGGCAGCACCTTAAACCACAGGCCGTTCACTCCCGAACCTCACGCTACACTTATCCTACTTATCCTAACCCCAAAGTCTTCACAAACCCACCTCATGGAGCAAACACCTCAAAGATCAAAGTTGACAGTTCACTTATATATGACGTATTTTCACTTTTATATGGTCATATGCATGTTATGAAATGCCTTGTTGATAAAGCAAACCTAATATGTAATTAAGATATTTATCCTCGTATTCCTACTTTAACGTGAACATGAGGTAACTCCGTATGAAGCACATATACAACTTATTGGAAAAGAAGGAACCGATTTTGTTATTTTGCACTATTCGTTTGGTAACCACCTGACCCAGATAGACTGCGCGTTCTGATAGGCAACAAGGGAAGGGACAAGGACAATGGAGATAACTTTATCCCAAATGAAAATCACCAGCAGCAAAACTCTACTTGATATTTTTTTTAGCCCCTGATACAAAATATGTCCTTACACAACTTTCAGTTGTGAATACAATGAGGAAATATTTCAAATCTGAAGTTTGGAAATGAAATAATTTGTATATTACATGTTCATTTAACGTTTAATATGCACAGTACATGACAGTTGGCATTGCATTCCCAGACACAAAACGTTTTAGAACAAGTATTTGTCACAGAGTGACGAAATATCCCCCGCCTGTTCACCATAGTACCAAATATGAAGACAATCCAGCAATTAGTTCTTGAGATATTGTGGCAACACCGTTTTCCAACTCCAAAAACAGATTTGCCTGCTGTGACCTTGAAAATGGGGTCAAGGTCACCAAATCTGACAGGTATATGCGGTGTCTGTATATACACTATAGTTCCAAATATGAAGACAATCCAGCGATTAGTTCTTGAGATATCGCGGCAACACCGTTTTCCAACTCTAAAAGCAGATTTGTCTGCTGTGACCTTGAAAATGGGATCAAGGTCACCAAAACCGACTGGTGTCTGCGGAGTCTGTATATACACCATAGTTCCAAATATGAAGACAATCCAGTGTTTAGTTCTTGAGATATCGCGGCAACAAACAGGTGGGACGTACGGACGTACGTACGGACGGTCGTGAATACTATATCCCCCGCTTCGCGCTTTCGCGCGGCGGGGGATAAAAAGATGTATTGTTACGAGTTACGAGTTATGAATTGATTTTCTTTCTTTTTTTATGTTTTCCAGTGTCCATCTATGTCCAATCAGCCCAATATTCTCTGTTAGCCACGGGTGTATTTTGACAACTTTATTATATCTGACAATAGTGTGTCCCACCGAAGAGATCGAGGAAGCAGGTTCACTACTTGTTTATATTCTGCACTCACCTTGTACTTGATATGGACGGAATACAAATTAACCTCGGCGTTTCTGACTTTGGTGAAAACCACTATTATATAGGTGAGGAAATGTGTTACTTTGTATAGGCATTCAGCTGTCAGATGCATCGATGTAGGAGCCAGTAGCAACTGTTTGAACCCCTAGACGGGCAGCGATGGCGTACAAACATTCTGAGCTAGGCATTCACCAACCAATGCAATGTTATAAATGCCCTTCTTCAACCCTTCTAAAACAACCCCATCTTTCATCGCAGCAGTGCAGTGATTCTCTAGTATAGGT